ACTTGTGCTCGTATTTTGATGATCGATGGACCAAAAATCGATCTGTTACCGATGTAAATTGGTCAAGCAAGGTATAAATAACACATTCTACTTTTTGTGACGCGTCACTTCATTTATTGACATTCTAACATATATATTCATTAGAACCCAGAACTATTTCTTGGATCTTACAATAAGAATCCATATGCAATCAATGATCCAGATGGTATCGTTTGTGTATGGAGCTTACGTTTGTTGGAACGTCCTGAATTTATTTTCCACTCACAGGTTTGTAAAGTTGACAATTATTACATTTTTTTGTTTAAAAAATTTTTTTTTATTTAAAACTCTTATTCTAAATATGTTTTAGTCGGACGTTCTTACGACAATGTTTTCTGATTTCCACCAAAGTTATATTATTGGAGGGACATATTCTGGTCAAATTTTACTTTGGGATATGAGAGCCAAATCGTTACCGGTCCTTAAGACTCCTTTAGGAGCTTCGGGTCATACCCATCCTATATATTCAATGCAAATGGTCGGAACACAAAATGCTCATAACCTGATCACTGCAAGTACGGATGGTTTAGTTTGTTCATGGCAATTAGACATGTTGACTCAACCACAGGAATCTTTGGAACTTGTTCATTCGGATCATCCTAAAACCGAAGAAGTTTCAGTTACAACTTTTGGTTTTCCTGAAAATGAAACTTCTGCTTTTTGGGTTGGAACAGAGGAAGGCAATGTTTATCAAGCAAATAGATTTGGACATGCCGGAGGGTAAGTTAATATTACTTTTTAGTAAATTATTTTGGTTTACGTTATAACTGGGAAATTTTTTTTTTTAAAAAAAAAAAAACTTTTAGAAAAGCTGGTATCAATCCGTATGACACTTATAAAGGACATTGGGGACCTGTTACAGGACTTCATTTCCATCCTCTCGATGGTCCAATAGATTTTTCGGATTTATTCTTGACATCATCAGTTGATTGGACTGTTAAATTGTGGCGTTCCAAGGTAAAAATATATATATATATATATATTGATTTATGGTTGTCAAGATAGCAATCTGTTAATGTAATGACCTTTTTTAAAAAAAATAAATCAGTCCGTATCTAAACCAACGGCTGGTGCACAAAATATTGTACCGTTATATTCCTTTGAAGGGGCAGATGACTATATTTATGACGTGAAATGGTCACCCACAAATCCTGCCTTGTTCGGATGTGTGGATGGAAAAGGGTATTTCACCTTATGGAATTTGAATATGGATACTGAATTACCAATTGTAAATAGTAAAGTCAGCGATCGCGCGTTGAATAAACTTCAATGGGATCAAGAAGGAAAGAAAGTAGTCATTGGATCTTCAGACGGTCGTGTACACGTTTATGATGTCGGCGAGGTAATTTGGTTGAAGTTTTATTGAACGCTTTTTTTTTTTTTTTTGTAATGTTATTTATTTTTTTTTTTTTGATTGCAGTTATGTAAACCACGTGACGAAGAATGGAATATCATGCAAACCACGATATCAGAAATGATTGACAATAACGATCCTGGGAGATATGCTTTAGCAAAATAATTCTTTAGAATTTTAGTAAATGATTTTTCTTTGTTGATACATCAATTGTAAAATAGAACATATATTCTTTGAGGGTTATAAGGGAAATGGGTATTTATTTAAAATTTTTTTTTTTTTTTATAAAATTTGATTGGTTTATTAAAAAGAAAATCTATTACGAGTAAACAATGAGAAGTTTTTTTGGGCTTCAATCCTAAAATGGTTACTACGCACATAAAAAAAGCCCCAAACTAACCTTTATAAAAAAATGATTATGTTAATTTGTAAATGCCTTTTTAAAATCATCGATTTGTTTTCCCTCCTTTCTTTTTCCTCTTTATTATTTTACCTGATAAAAGATTGGTGTGAATAAATTTAGATAGGTTCGTTTTAGCCACATTACATGCGGGAATTGCATAAATAGGGAACCCTGTAATAGCAATTAAATCAATTGTTTGTTTTTGTCGTATGTCCATATTTCTTTTTTTAAAAAAAAAAAAAAAAAATATAAATATTATTATTCTTATTATTATTTTTATAAAAGGAGAAATAAAAAAAAAAAAAATCTTTTTTTAAATTAAAAAAATCTTTTTAAGGAATTTCTAAACTTTGTTTTATCGTAATATATTCGATAATTTCTTTTTTTTTTTATAATGAATACAACAAGATATACACTTTTACACACGCCACTTATCGTATCGGTCGTTTCTCAATATTTCGAATATCAAGATGATATTTATAAATTACTTTTTGTGAATCCAAAATGGGCCAAGGTAAGTTAAATTGAAAATTGCGATTCCTTGGCTGTTTGATAATACCTCTTTTTCCGTCAAATCTTCTTAATCGGTTAAACTCACTTTCACTTTCTCGGATTTTTTTAAATTTTTTATTTTTTTCGAAATACGATTCTTCCGTAAAGATGCTCGTTCCCGTGTTATGGAGAAGTCCGATATGGAAGACACCAAAATCATTTCAAAAATTCTTAAGTATATTATCGGAACAACACCCACCACATCCATATGGGACGTTAGTAGAAAAATTGACATTCAAATCATATTACAAATCACTACCACCATTATTTACGGTAGAAGCGTTAGAATTAATATCATTACATTGTCCAAACGTACAATATTTGACATTTGACTGCTTAAAACCTTCAAGATCATCATTATCATCATATTCCATCGACACGAGTAGCGATTTACCACCAAATATTTTGGCATCATTATTAAAAAGCTTTCCAAATTTAGTCGTATTTAAAGGACCAAAATTCAATTCAATGCAATGGATTGGGGCGGGATTAACACCGATGCGTAAAGGATTCCTTCCCTATGTAAGATCGCTGAGATTATCCTTAGATTGGAGAGATTTATCGATGCCATTCCTATTACATGACATTGGAAGTCATTGCCCTTCCATTATCGAACTTGATATCATAACCGACGTACCCGAACAAACTGCCAAAATCATCGTAGATGCTTTCCCAAATTTAACATCATTTTCATGTATCACGGTAACATTTCGAGCATTATACATATTAGTTAATGGTTTGACTAAATTAACCTCATTAAAATTGCAATTCGGACAAGACATTACCGATGAAAGGTTACTTCAAATTTGCTCGAGGTTTCCTAAATTGGAATCGTTTTCATTATTAAAAGGTTGGAATAATTTACAAACATTCATAAAATCTTGGTCAATGATTCAAAAGGATACTTTAAATCAGTTGGAATTCTCACATAATAATGGGTTAACCAATGAAATGTTATTACCTATCTTTCAATTATGTTATAATTTATCCACTTTGAAATTAATTCATTGTCCTGGCGTATCGGATAGTTCCATAACTTATTTATCTCGACATCAAGGTTGTCGATTGAAAAATTTATTAATTCATTATAATTATAACATTTCCGATCATGGGATCAACAGTTTGGCCGAACATTGTGGTAATTTGATTTCCTTTAACCTGTTAGAATGTCCTAAAGTTACCATCAAATCTTTAAGTCAAGTTATTAAACGATGTAGGAATTTGTTGGAATTTTATGTTAGTTTTAATAACAAGTTGATGAACGGTTTAGTTAGTTGTTACAATTCTTGTGGTAATTCGAATTTATTGGTTTTTGGAAATCGTTACGTTTGTTTGGATACTACGCAGATTTCAAAAACTATTGATAGTTCAATGTTACTTAAATTGTCAACGTGTATACCAAACCTAAGGAAATTGGACATAAGGTATCCGATCAAAAATGTGAATTCAAACGTAAGTTCTTTGGACACTTTTTTTTTGGAAAAAGTTGGTTACTTTGATTGGTCTCTCTTTAACCTTTTATTTTTTTTTATTTTTTTTTTTTTAGAAATTAATTAAGGCTATACTTAATTTTAAGCAACTTGAGAAATTGTGCATTGTTCCTCCACCAAATTTAAAACGAAAGCATTTAAGTTTGTTGGACGCTCAACATAAACGGTTAAAAGAAATTTGGTTTATGACAAAAGATCACCCTAAAATTCGACAGTACATTTATGAATCTGACCTTTATAATAAGAATGGCATTAGGCTTATACTTTGCATGTTATCCGATTACGAAGAAATTTAACGATCGAGGTTTGGCGGAAAACGCTGTGGGATTGTGGGATTAGAACGTAATGGGAACACATAATTGAGGGGTAATTTGGAAGGGTAATTTTGAAAAGGTAATTAGAGGGTAATTGGAAAGGCAATTAATTGTAAGCGGTAACTGGAAAAGGGTAATGATGGGGGAATAATGAACATTTTATTAAGAAAATATTATGGGTTCATTTCGTGTTTTTACGTATGTATTTCATAACATTTTATACATAATAATTTCGTTCATCTCAACTCGAATGATATTCGAGGGTAGGGTGCATATCGCTAAAAGGTTTCGCAATGTGTAATTCTTTATCGCACTCACATTTAACTAATACTTAGTAAATAAAAATAATCTAATAAACAATCGAGCGGAACGCTCGAATTCTTCAACGCCTCTTTCGAGGACTTAATTTAAACCAATTATCGGTTAAAGAATGATTGTAGATCAAACTATGGTTCCATGTGATCTTGATCAAATAGGCAACATGGTTTTTTTTTTAAAAAAAAAGATAAAAAACCATCAACAAATGTTTTTATTGGGTAAAATCCGCACGATTTTTTTGTATCATCAAAAAAAAAAAAATTACAAGCAATAATTTAATGATTCAGTATTATCTAATCTAGAACCAGCTCAATTTGGACTGTAAAGTAAAATCATAGTATGTTTAACCTTAATAGGTAAGAATCGTCAATTTTCTTTTTACCAATTAAGGTATATTTGATGAGTTTAATTTGTACAGATGTGGATAAATTACGTATGAAACACTCCATCATACTACACACGCTCAGTTAAAAGAAAGATTTTCTATTATACTTTAATCTATAACATTCTAAGTATCTAATTAATAATAATTAAAATTCGAATATATTGTCATTATTTTTAGAAATTAATGATTTTAACATGTCGAATTCTCCAGAATTTTGACACATTTGATAAAATAATGAATTTGGATTTGAGATAAGGTTTCGCGGGCTATTAATTAAGAATAATTCAGTAAAGATAATTCAAAGAAAGCTCTTTTATTTTTAAGAAATAACAATAAATACCTATCAAATTCAATGATATTTCCTTGATCTATTATTATATTAAAAGAAAAAATTTTTTTTTAATTTTTTTTTTCTTTTTTGCAAGTTAGAAATTTGTTGATTCAATACATACCTAATACAAGAATTCTATCATAATCGACAACAGTTCTCAATCTATGTGCAATACATAATACAGTACAATCTATAAATTCTTTTCTAATCATTTCCTGAATTTTATCATCCATATCAAAATCAATACTACAATAAAATGTTCAATTAACAAGGTCGGTCATATATAAAATAAATTTAATAAAACAATTTATTTACCTTGCAGTTGCTTCATCCATAAGGATAATTTTAGATCTTTTTAATAAGGCTCTAGCCAAGCATAATAACTGCCTTTGCCCTTGACTAAGGTTTTTCCCACCTTCAGCTATCGGCGTATCTAAATTCTTAAATATATTTATATTCTTATAATCATCTAGTGTTGTTATTAAATCTTCTTCTTGCGAATTAAGGTGCTCCTCTTCTTCTAACGATGGCAGTAAACGTACTCTTCTCAAAGACTCATATAATTCATGATCTTCGCATTGCGAAAATGTATCAAGGTTGGATCGAATAGTACCTATTTTTTTTTTTTTTTAAAAAAAAAGTGTTATATAATATAAATAATGTCAATTACCATAAAAAAATATATATATATTTACCTGTAAATAAAATTGGATCTTGTGGAATAATTGTAAGTCTTGATCTAAGATCTTCAATACCAATTGAACTTATATCGATTCCATCAATAATTATTTTTCCATCAGATGGTTCAATAAATCTAAATAATGATAAAGATATTGTAGATTTCCCTGATCCGGTTCTAAATCATAATAAAATATCTATGTAAGCCCTTGGAAATCCTTCAAACAATCAAGATAAGGAAGATTATACATACCTTCCAACGATACCAACTTTTTCTTGTCCAAATATTTCAAAAGAGATATGATGTAAAACAGGCTCTAATTCTGGTGCGTATCTAATTAATAAATCTTCTACTCGAATATTACCGTCATAAGGCCAACTAGCGGGTGGTCTAGGTTCAATTATTTCTGCCGCTTCTTGATTAATTTCCATAAATTCACATACTCTTTCTATTGAATTCAAATTCATTTCAAATGTCGTATAACCCCTGACCAACCACATAATTTGCTTGGAGAATGACATGGCAAATGTTAACGATAATCCTGCTAATCCTGCATCGATCTTATCTAAATTCAAGATTATAAAGATTCCTGCTATAAATGTTAATGCTGCTCCCATAATATTATATCTCATTGATAACCATCTATTAACCGTGCATTTTGTGTAAAATGGTCTATTACTAGCATCAATTCTACAAAATTTTAAGATGGTCTGTTAATAAATAAAGAAAGAATTTTTTTAAATAAATATATATTTTTTTTTATTTTACCTTACTAAAATCTCATCCATAAATCTTTTTGATGCGCCAAATGCTCGAATGGTTGAAATTCCACTGTAAAGCAAAAGATTTTAATGATATTTTATGAATTAAAATTTTCTCCTTCAATATCACTTACATTATTGTTTCACCAAAATGTGTATATGTAGGTGATTTTGCAATAGATTCTAATCTTTTAAGATCTCGTGAACATTTTGTATAAAATACTGCTTGGATTATATATACAACACCTATTATATAAAAATCAAAAATGGTTAAAATTATTAATAAAAAATAAAAATAAAAATTATAAATAAAGACTTATTTTCATCATCATACTAAAAATTAGTGAAGCAATTATGAATTCTAAGATTAAAATATAATTAGTTTAAAATATATGTATTTTTCAAAAAAATTGACAAAGCGATACATACCCTTTGTAATAGCTGTTATCACTATTACGGTACCAGTCATCATTAAGAGCTTAAGCAAAAATAAATAAATAAATCAATCATATCATTTCTTTAAAAAATTAATAAAATAATAATAAATATTCTTACAAAATTAAGGCACAATGCCAAATTTCCTATAAATTACCAAAATTGTTAGAAAGAAAATTTTTTTTGCGGTATGATTTCTTTTTTTTTTGGAAAATAACATTACCTGTTAAAGTGCTATCTATAGTTTCAAAATCTCTGCTAAATCTATTAAGAATTCTTCCAACAGGAGTTGTATCAAAAAACCTTAATGGTGCTCTAATGATCTTATAAAGCAAAGCTTCATAAAGTATTCTTGAAGCTCTTAACGAACCATAATAAAGCAAAGCTAATCTTGACACTCCAAGAAAAACGGATGAGATTGTAATTAATACATAATAACTAAAATAATAATTTGTATCATGTGAATTTGGTTCGTAAAAGATCAGTGACGCATAATTTATAAAATTCACTTTTTCACTAGCATTTGACCAAACTTTTAACCACCAATTTTCTGCTACTTGAGATAACCTTGTGATTATGAAGAGTATTGTGACCATAAACCAGAACCAAAAATGCCCATTTGCTAAGATGTACGTCATATAGATTCCAAATTTAACGCTTCCAATTGCATATTCTATAATTATAAAAAAAAATTGATTTTTGTTTTTAAAATTTATATCAATATAATTAAATTAAAGTTTACCTTCAGCTTGAATTAGCTTTTTTGGAAATTTAGTTTTTGTCGAATCTCTATTTTCATCTTTGCGAACCGTGGATGCAACTATCGAATCTTCTTGATCTGACTCTTCATTAATAGTTGTTCCTTCACTATTCAGTCCTTCATCTATTGGCCGGATTTCATCTTCATTACTTTTATCAGAAAAAGCATTTGATGGCACTTGAAAGTTCGTATTTTCAGCTACTGTTTCAATAATATCTTCAACCTCATTATTAGTTTCTATCGCCAAAGAATTTTTTAATTCTTTAGCAGTACCAGAAACTTCAACTTTACCATCTTTTAATAAAACCGCATAATCAGCTTTTGTCAAAGATAAACCAACATGATGAGTAACAAGGATTCGTGTTCGTCCTTCCATCAATGGACCAGTTATACAATCAAACATTAAATGTTTAGCCGTATGAGCGTCAACAGCACTTAATGCATCATCTATAATTATATGTTTTGCCCTTGAATAAACCGCTCTAAACAAAATTATTCAATTACTTAAAGTTTTTATGAAAAAGAAATCCATTTATTATTCTTACCTCGCCAATGCACAACGCTGCTTTTGTCCACCAGAAATTGTAATTCCTTTCTCCCCGATTTCTGTCAAATCACCATCTTCAAGGATTTCGAAATCTCTTTGCAAGGCACAAGCTTTTATAACAGCATTATAACGTTCTTTGTGAAATGGAAGCCCAAAAGTGATATTACTACGGATTGAAGCATTTTGGAGAAAAGATTCCTGTGCAACAAAGGCAACACAGTTATCCAGAATCCAATCTGATGTCATAGGATCAGGATTACACAAGTCCTCAGGGGTATTAGGGAAGAAAATCTCTCCCTTTATTAGATTCGTTTCTTTATCAAATAAAAGAATTAATATAAAATAAAAAGAATTAAAGCAATTTATACGTATAAAATTTTCGATATACCTCCGAGAAGTGACATCAATAATAAAGTCTTGAGAAATAAAAAAAAATTTTAGGTATCATCTCATAAATAAATAAAAATGACGACAAAAAATATATCTATACCTTTCCTGATCCTGTATGTCCATCTAGAGAAAAAAAATTCAATACATCACAGTCAATTTGTATACTTTCTTCATTAAATTATTAACACAACAGCCAATATTACTTACATATTACACTTAATTTTCCAACAGGAAATTCAATATTCAAATCTTTCATGATGAACTCATTACAACCTATTTCATTATTATATTCATTCCAAGTAACGCTCGCATTTTTAAATCCAATTTTTAAAGAATCATTATTCATATTTGATTTGTTAGACTGGATTTCTTTACTATTCAAAAAGTTTTCAATCCTTCTAATACTGATAAGAGCTTGATAACCTTGCATAAAAACATCAGGAAAATTTGTCAAAACAAATCGTAGTTCATTAAAAATTGTTATTGAAGTAAAGGCAATTGATGCAGTTAACTCATTTCCTTGAACTTTTGTAAAGACGAAAAACATTATTATCGTTACAATTACTGGAGATGCCAACCAGATTAAATTATAAGATATTAAACTTAAGAACGTTTTACGCAATTCTTGAAGTTCAATTTCTCGGGCAGCTTAAAAGATAAATCAAGCCGTTAAAAGAGTATTTCTATAACAAAATAAAAATAAAATAAAATCATTCTTTACGTACCCAAAATTCGTTCTTTCCACTTTCTTTCCCAAGCAAATAATTTAATCATTCGAATTCCCTGTAAAACTTCGTTCATCAAACTAATTCTATGATCTCTAGCTTTCATCAGCTTATTTTGAACATTTGATAAATAATTGGAATTTAGATGGTTTAAAGGCAAGATCATAATCATGAACGTAAAACCAATGATACTAGCAAATCCCAATAAATGATAAAGAAAATAAAGTGAAATAATAATTTGTATAGGAGTTTCGAAAAATAAAGTCCACCACATTGAAAATTGTCCAATACGATTTGTATCCACAGCCATAAGATTAATTAATTTTCCTACAGCAGCAGCGTTGTTGTCCTTGGATGAATCCTTTTCATTGACATTATCTATACAAACACCATTTGTCATTTTTAAGCTTTTAGCATATATTTCAGCATTAAACATTCCAGTTATTGAAGTATTAAATGCGCTCGCACTCCAGTACCATTGTTGTCCAATAGACATAAGTAAAAGGATATTACTTATAAACATTCCAAGTATACAAACATAACCCCAATCCCAATTATTTGCTCTATCTGATGAATTTTCTTGAATATATTCGAGAAAATTATATAAGAAAAGAGAAGGAACATAATATAATAATGATACGAACATTGTTGCAATCACTTGATATATTATAATACGTTTATTAGCATTCCATATTCTATAAAGCAAAGACTTGCTGCGCCACGATTTAAAACTATGATATGAAGCAAGCGCTCGTAAATCGAATGGAAGTTGATCAAGGTCCGATTCTTTTAAAGCATCCTTATAATAGGCTTTTGTGATCAAGGGATTCAAGGTAGAGAAAAGTATAAAATCCAATATTGAAGAATAACATATTGGTGTGACGGGTCTTCCATTGTCAAAAAGTGGAGGGCTCCTTGGAGTTGTACTGGCTACTGCGGTAACAATAAATGACGAGATCACATTGCAAATCGCAGCAATTTGTTCTGAACGTTTTGCATTTCTTGACATGATAAACACAAATCGAAGGTACCATAATGAACACAAGAATGCGGTAAAGGCTATAGCCGTTAAGTGAGCGTTCAAAGTCTTTCTCCAATTCTTTGCACGTGATTGTTTGGCGATCAGAGTAATTATCGTAGCATAAAGCTTGAAGAAATAAAATTGTTATACGTTACGAGATGTGATACTGCGCTTTACTAGATTTAAAAGGTGAATCTCGACCAACTTACCCAACAGAATACAAGTAATCCCGCATGTATAGCATCAATATTTTCATATACCATCCGACCTAATAACAATGAAAATAGAGATACTTGGATTATACAAATTCCTAATTTGATGACATCCCTCTTAACTGTAGAAAATCGGATTTTTGTAGTATCAGTATTGATCACTTGTGGTGAAACATCGATTTTTTTATGATATTTTTGTACAATAAGAAGAAAACAACTTCCTAAAGTTACTATTGTAAGAGGTATAGCATCAAAATATGACAAATATATCATTTTTTCAAAACTAAAAAGAAACGGAAAGAGAATGATTATAAAAATTTGAACATTGGTTAATAAAACATCATTTAAAATCCAAAAGGTTAGACTAAAAAAATTTTTAGGTAAAAAATGTTTAGGTCCCCGATTGAAACCCGCCAATCACGTGCGTTACACCACCCCTTATTGTTATAACCAAAAATTGTATTGTATTACAAAGTGTCTAGAAAATCAGATGAATATTATGCCGGGGCGTTAAGAAATGGCTCAAACCGGACTAGAAATTAGAAAATAAAAAAGTAAAATTTTAATTTGCAAAATCATCAAGTTTTCGTAATCTAAAAAATTTGATGAACGAAATACCTGATTAGTTTTTTAATGTCCCTAATAGTTAGTTCTTTAGAAATATTTTGTATCTATTACAATGAATTATCCGAAATCTTGGGCCATAATACATTTTAAAGTTCTATCATTACCACCTTATAAGCGGATTGTCTGCTTTTCGTTAAAGAAAATGATAAAAACCAGTTGCCCAAAATTATTTTGTAATAATTACCAAGGTTTTCGTTTGAAAATAAGGATATTCGAATATCGAAAAGTACTCCCATCCAAAAGAACCTCCGCAAGAATTACTTAAGATCCTAAATAATAATAAAAAAAAAGGAAAGGAGAAGCCTTCGCCAAACTTTTGATTCATTAAATAAATTTTTGATATTCAAACATTTCGATCATTTCGATAATTGATTTTCATATCGACATGTGAAATGATTTTCTGATATTCGGGTACTCAAGTAGTCAAACGGTTGTCGGTTCAAAGGCCTTTTGACCGACCGTTGACCGGCTGTTAAATTTAGCATTTTTTTTTTTTTAAGTAATAGATCCATTGACTGACCGGTCATGACCAGTTATGACTATGACCGACCGTCAGCTTCCTAGTTGTTATTTTCAACTCGAGAGTTTTTAAAAAAGTGTGCCCGTATGTCTAGAAACAAAATTTCAGTATGGTTGAAATTTAGCTCGTTAAATTTTTGACTTAGTAAAAACGAGTTATCACGAAAGTATTTTTTCTCCTGATTTCACATAATCTATGACCGTTTTACCGTTTTAATTAAATGGTTAAGTTTATTTCTTTAACGCGAAATTACCATAATTTTACAACCTTAATTGTTTTTTTTTTTTTTTTTTTTTTGAGAACAGAATTCTTTTGGGGTCATTAATCCGTTTGAGTATGAAAAAAGCTCGGTTACGAATTCTCAATAAATTTTCCTTGGCATGCATGTTTTGTGCCATGCCACATTTAGAAAGTTCCCGAAATGTTTGTTTGAAATAATCATACGATTCTATTTTCTGAAATAACTTTTACGACTCACTCATTAATACTTTTTATAAATTGTTTGATGTTTAGGAAATGTTGATATAAAGAAACCAATTATGGAAATTCGCAGGTGAATCTGAAACAGAAGTTTAGAACAAATAGTAAATGGAAAAACATGAATCAAATGTGAAATTTTGAAACAAATCAAATGAGAGTGGGCAAAAATACACCTTTTTTTTTTTTGCCTAAATCAAATAATAATTGAGAAATTTCGCAACTCCGTTTTGTTTCGCCCACAACAAAAAATAGATGTTTTTTTTACTAAGACTAGATATATATAGGGTATGAGACATCTTGTTTCTTCAAACTCCATAACAATATTATTAATCACAATTTGTGTGACAATGATCGCGGGACGTGTATAAACATTTTTCCCGCATGAAAACTTAGGCATGTCATGTTTATCTTTAATTTAGAATGTCTGAATCGATGCGAGCAAGATTAATTTCTCAACAATCTTTTTTTGGAATTTTTCGAACATAAACATCTTAAAAAAAGTAAAGGTCCGGGTTTGTTTTGTAAATATTTTGATCTTAACCATTTATATTGGTTTAAATTTCTAATTAAATTTTGGGATTAAAGATTTTGATTATGATTAAGGAAATTTTAAAAAAATTATAAAGGATCTACTCTCCCAATACCTTATATGGGAATTTAATAAAACAAACTCGAATAACATCCAAACTTTTCAGTTAAATTCGAACAATCCATGACACAAACGAAATTTAGAATCGTCAGCCACAAAGAAAGCGAATTTTTTAATAAAAAAAAAGTCCCGTTTAATTTGTTTTTATCGTGATCTAATTTCCGACATATTCTTTGATACAAATAAACATTAATCCCCTAACTCTATATATAACATGTTTAACACATGCGTACCAAGATTACTCGACGAGAACAATACATGAGATGGATTAATTCGGTAAAACGAAGAGATTCGATCGAATAATCCTTTCATCGACTTGATAAATGGGAATTCTTTTCCATAAATAATTTAAATATTTCTAATCTTTTTATCGTAGTATAAATATTTTTAATTGCGTTTTTTTTTTTTTTGATGTAATTAAAGTCATTCCGTTTCATGTAATGTTCTTTTTTCTTTTAAAAAAAGAATAAATAAATAAATAAATAAATTATTAATTTATGAAGAGTTTCAAAAGGGTAACACCATTAACGAAGATCTTTGTATACCAACTATGGCAATTCAGGAATAGACCAAAAAAGGAAATCTCGAGAAAATCTTAATCTCATGATAAAGAAGGTCATTGTTTAAATAATAAAAAAACCCTTGATTATTTTATGAATTGTCCTATAGGAAAAATAATGATTTTCCAAAGTTGTAAGCTTAAGACGTGGCACGTATGCATTTCCTTTGTTTCATGTATTTTCTCAATCATATTAGTGAAAAAATATCAATACCCAATTAAAACTTCGTGATCAACTTTTAAACTTTTTATTTCGAGGTTTACCTTATTAAGGGAATCAAATTAATTTAATATTTTTGTGCACACGGAATTTTGATGTTCTCACCTTAATACATTTTTCAATTCCTTTTATGATTTTATTTTTTAATTTCATTTTCATTCCTTTTACTTCATCAAAGGCGTCCGCAGTCTTTCTTCTCTGTTAAAAAAAAAAAAAATCTTTATTTTTTTTTTCCATTCTTTTAAAGGGCAGGACCCTTGAACATATATATTCACGAATATCCTTTATTCTTTTTTCTTTTTATTCTTTAAAAGATAAAGATATAGTAAAGAGGGATTGGATTTCATTCCACTTACCAAAAAAAAAAAAATCCTCGTTAATGAGCAAAATTAATTAACCGTGAAAAATCGTAAAGATAAAAAAAAGAATGGTTTTTGAGACGGACGCTGTAGCGTATTACACTCTTCATATCATATCACTGCCATTATCCCTGACCCTTTTCGTACTTTATAAAAATCATAAACATTATTCAACGGTCGCATATTTTGCACTGACACTTTTCTTATCTTCAATAAATTCATGTTATTTAGCTTTTGCGAAAAATGGGAATCTTGAGGATACAGCAAACACGTTTGCTTGTGCCTTTCAAGCCTTCTTTTTAACATATTTAAATACTTCGATAGCTTTATGGCTTGTTTGTATTGAATATAAAATGACTTTAATTTTTACAAGAAATAGGGGGAGGATGAGGCAAAGGCTCCAACAAAGTGAAATCTTGGGAAAACATGAATTGTTGAGCTTCATGGCATTATCTTGGGGATTACCTCTATTCTTTACCATTACCGCTACTGTATTAGCAATTAGTAAAAATGGATTGGAACCTTGGCTATATTATTGTATGATTTCTAACCCTGCGATTGGTCCGTAAGTATCGTATTATTTTTGATATCGAACAACTTGAAAAAAATATATATATTGCCGAAAGAATTCGCTTCTCGAACGGTGATGTCAAAGGTGGGGATATAATATTTACCCAGATGACGTGTTTCACATTTTGTGAAATTATTTGTATGAGGTTTAACATGAATGGCTCAACTGATTACATACTAGCTGGTTTCAAGTCCGAAATCCAATATTAAATGCTTGAACATTATTTTTATTTGTATTTAGTGCCATTGGAATTTATTTTGTGTCAATGTGCTCTATTATAATCACAACAATTCTTATAGGTATTACTTTAATCAACTTTCTTTATTCATTTACTGTGCCACTCGAACCACACTAAATTTGGTTAATCATTGCAGCATGGAATATCAAATTAATTTATGAACGTGAATCCAATGATGTTGAGGAGATCGATATCGATTTGTCTAGGCGGGTTATTGCTTTTGGAATCATAACGTCATTGCCCATTTGCCTTTCCACGTGTGAGTTTATCATATACATTCCTCCTTTTTTTTTAAAAGTTGAATTTAATTTAATCTCAAAAAAAAAAAAATAGTTGCACGGTTGCTTATGACACTAATGTTGAATTGGGTTGACAATACGGGAATGTGGCCTGATTTTTTACTCGTTACGATCCCATATTTTACATTTAGTGAGTGTCGTTAATGTTTAAAAATGTCGGTGACGTATAAAAATAAACTAACCAAATTAATTAATGCTTAGTGATATATGGTACAACACCAAAAATATTTAGAAAATTTTCTCATGAATCTCCATGTCGGCAAAAAAATCGTAGCGATAATTTATTAGTAAATTTCGCAATTATAAATCCGACATTAAGAAGAGATTCAATAGAAGGAAGGCAACGACATCTCTCGTTATCTTCATCATTAACGAAACCTTCATCAGAAGAGTCAATAGCACGTTCTTCAGCACCTGGCCCATCAACATTCAGTCAAAGAACAAATCCGAATGCACCTGACCCGTTTTCACATAGAAAGAACCCTTCATTAACAATCAATGTACCCGGACAACAACGTGTTCGTAAACGATCTTCTTCTTCAATACGTAAATCCTTTTTAGCTCGTGCTCTATCTATAAATAAAAATTCCGAAGATTCTAATAGGTTGAGTTTAACAAATGTTGTGGAAAGTGGTCAAGTCTACTCTAGGAATTTACGAAAAGCCATGAAATCCTTAAAGAAACCTTCTTCTCGTCGAAATGTGACACCGCCTGCTACCCGTCATACGATTGCTCAACTTGGAAGGAGTAATAGAAATTCCAGTATAATAGGCAAGTGTGAAAAAACGAAAAAAAAAAGATAGGAAATCAAAAAGTTTTTAACTCATCAATTATTGAATTTGAAATTTTATTTAGATAATAATAATAATAGGAATTCAGAGAAATTTTTAAAGAAATTTTCTTTCGAACATCGAAGCAAAACTGAATCCGTCATACAGATTCCACAAGAATTCATATTTGATGAAAGAAAAAATTATATTCTGGATGAATTTAAAGCGAATTCTATTCAAAAATCATCTCCCTCACGAAGTTTCAAGTTAAATAGGTATCTAACGGATGTATTACCTTCGATAGAGATTACGCGAAATTTCACGACAACACCATCACATACTTCAGTCATTTCAGATACTGAAGGAATGATTCCATCAAAATCAACGGGACATTCCCCAAGCTTTTTCTTTTTAACATCTAATCTTTATGAAAAAAAAGATGATGATGATGATGATGATGACGTCAACGTTGATGTACATCTCCCAACAACACCTTCCTTTGGACCTTCATCAACAGTTCAAGCAAAGAGGAATACAAAATCCACTTTTAGTTCGAAATCTAATAAATCTACGGAATCATCAAGCTCTTCTCAAGATGAAGGGTTAAGACTTACACCAAGAAATAGTATACCTGTACGTATACTAAATAGAAGATCTTTAATTAATGCTTTACCTAGCTCTTCAACATCCACTATTAATGAAGAGAATTAGAAATTTTTTTTATTATTATAATATAATTTGATTGGATATTTTTTTTTTTTTTTGTGGTTGTATATACTGTAAGTGTTATTAGCAAATAATAAATGTATACATATTTTGTATATATATACATATAGCTTGGTTTTAACGGTTTTGTTTTTTTTTTTTTATTATAGAATTCTCTTCATGTTTATCAGAAACGATAATTTACCAATATTTTACTATTAATGAATTCTTTTAATTAACACCATAACGATAAATTTATCATTCATATAACTTATAGAATTTCTTAAAAACTATATTTATTGTAATATTATTGTAAAATTAGTTTTTAGTGTTTCAACTTTTCACATTTTTAGGACGCGACCGACATCGAGAAAACGCTAACCAAAAAAACGAATTTTTGGAATAAAAAAAAAAAAACACGATAAGAAAAAATAAATTAATAAAACTTTTTATACATAAGTTTACGCGTCGTACGCACCAGCACAAAAAAAAGTAAAGTTAAACATTAAATTCTCGGATAAAAATTTTATTCCGACTCTAAATTTAGGTTAATTGCATAACTCGATATTTTTACAATTATCGATAATGATCGATGTCAAAATGTTAAACGACCTACGCTTTAATGAAGAAATAAATCCAAAATTAAAATACCGAGAATTTTAGATATTTATAACAAAACATTTTGTTACATAAGCATATAAGATTGTTAAAGAAAAATTTTATTGAGTTATAAATATGTTTGAAAAATATAAAATATAAAATACAGTATAAAAAAAAATATATATATATAAAAATATAATATATAAAATATAAAACGTAAAAATATAAAAATATAAAATATAAAAAATAATATAAATTTAAAAGGATTGATCTATTTTACTAATTTCCATTTTTTTATTTTTTTTATTTTTGAGTGTGTAGGGGGTAGTATATGTAATCTTCTCCTAAAAATTTTTAGGAGAAGATTACATATACTACCCCATACACACTATTAAAAATAAAAAAAATAAAAAAATTCCGAAATTAGTAAAATAGAATAAAAGATTCTACACAAAGAGTATTTCCTCGGCGCTATCCGCGGCTAGTCGCATTGATCAACAAATGCATTCATTGTTTCAACAAAACAATGAATGCATTTGTTTTTGGCGATGCAGCTAGCTGCGAATAGTGCCGAGGAAATATTTTCAGTGTAGAATCTTTATCCCAAGTAAAAGTTGGTGTGGTGTCGGTGTTTGGTGGTAAAAAGGATTCTACAAAATGATAAGTTGGTGTGGTTTGGTGAAAAAATCATCGATCTCAGTGTCGATGTTCAGTGATAAAAAGGTTTCAGAGTCGTCTGGTCTGACATTTGATCTTGATTTGACAACGTTTGGTGAAAATCTGAGATGTTTGATGTATTCGTGGATTGGTGAAAATCTGAGATGTGTGATGTATTCGTGGGTTGAAGTTGAATTAATTCTAATGGTGGAAACATACTATCAACTTCTGAATTCGACAAATAATCATCAAACTCCAAAAGAGGTGTAGGATAAAATGTAGATTGATGTTGTTGAGATGAGTCAGAAATCGAAGGGGGCAATGTTGATTCAAAACTGATATCTGGTTCATATTGTAAATTTCTATCTTCCGGAGTAGGATAAAATGTAAATTGAGAAGGTTGAGAAATTGATGGTAAAGTTGCATTCATATCTGGTAAAATGCTGTTGTCTGGAGTAGATAATGTTGAGGAGAAAGAGGAACTAGAGATCGAATGGGAAGTCGCTTGCATGACGATCATATTTTGAGAAAAATTGTTGTACGGAGTAGGAAAATAACCATATACAAAATTTTGAGGCGAGGGGAGCGTTTCTGATTCATTCATCGTACATTGCAAATTTCTGTTGTCCGTATAAGGAGAAGATGTTGAGGAAAAAGAGGAACTAGAGATCGAATGAGGAGTTGATTGCAAGCCAAGCTTATTTGATTCAATCATCATATTTTGAAAATAATTGTTGTACGGAGTATCACATACAAATGAAAAATTTTGAGACGAGGGGGAAGAAATTGAGTGCAAGTCTGGTTCATTCATCGTATATTGCAAATTGCTGTTGTCCGGAGTTGGAGATGATGAATTTGAAATCGAAGGGGAAGTTGATTCATTCATTATATTTTGAAAATTGTTGTTGTCCGGAGTTGGAGATGATGAATTGGAAATCGAAGGGGAAGTTGATTCATTCATTATATTTTGAAAATTGCTGCTGTCCGGAGTAGATGTTGAGGAGGAAGAATTTCCATATTTACTTTTAAGCAATCTAGAAAGTGCTTCGTATACTATTTTAACATTTTCGGGTTCTTCTTGCCAGTTCTTGCCAATTTCTGCACATTTTTCGGATTCTTTATTTCCAATAACATTTTTATTTAATAAACGATAAAGCATAAATGAATTTAAACATGCTTTTTTATTTTTCTCTTTTTTGTTTTTCTTTTTATTGTTTTTCTTTTTATTGTTTTTCTCTTTTTTATTTTTCTTTTTTTTGTTTTTCTCTTTTTTATTTTTCTTCGCGATCCATTCATAAATTGGAACGAGGTTCAAATTTGCTTCGTAAACGATTTTTTCATCGGTTTTTTGAGAGTCATTATCAAATTGAATCACATTATCAAAGTTTGGAGGTGTTGGAGGTGCAAAATTACCTTCATTGTCGTTTATTTTTAACCGAAACTCGTTAGTAACGTATTTAGGTTTGACCATTTTTAAGTTCGAGAAAAAAAAAAAGATAAAAAAAAAAAGACAATTCGTGGTATCGAAACAAATGTAAAATTTTTTTAGCTTTTTTATTAGATAAAAATTAACAAAAATTGCTTTTGTAATCTAAAATAGGAAGGTCGGAAAAATAAATTTATCCAGAATATGATAACATTTGAAAAATCAGTCAAAGATGATGTAAAACTCAGCCCAAAATCGGTGTAGAAATTCCGTTGTGAATAGTAATCATACCATATTCAGAAAGCATCTACTACGGTTTCAAGAAAAGGGAGTTCCGAAATTTTTTTTTTTTTTTTCGGGTGAATTGAAAAGGCGATCCTGATAAATTCTAATCTACATCTACTACGCATTTATCATAATAAATTCTAGAGTATCATCCCTTCATCTGAAAACTTTCACATACTATGTTTATGCAGACAAATTTGCCTGTGTTACAGACGAAGGGATAAGTAAAGTGCAGCGCCCTCTATAATAGAATTTATCCATTTATCCATAATGTCAAAAACGAATTCGGCGAAAAATAATGAACTCTAATTTTTCATACAATTTTTTTTTTTCATTTTGATAAGACCAAGAATACAGAACACATCATTACACATAATAAGGAAAGTTGCATAATTCAGCCCGTCGATCACTTTTTTTTGTTTAAGCATAACATAAATTATGTCGTTGTGTATTTCTTTATGATATCATTTATTAGTAATGTTACAATTTATTAGAGAGCACGGGGAAATGATGTTTGTCACAGAGCCGTAGCAATCTCAGAAGTTAACTTTATTAAGAGAAATAGTCAAAATATCACCACCCTCGAAACCTTTCATTATGTAATAAAACTCTCGAAACGTCATTGCATTTGATTAAAAACGCGATATTTTTGATTTAATCTATAAAAATGATTTTATTATTTATATACGTGTCAGTTTTTAACTTCCTAATAGAGTTCGATGCATAGATCTGAATTTCCAATAGATTTTAAGTATGTGAAAAGAGAAAAAAGTGGTAAAAGGCCGAGAAGTTTAAAGGTTATACATAATAAAGAGACCAAATCAAAAAATTAAAGTATAAATGAAAGTCAATACAATCACGGCAATATTTATTTTATTTTCACATCCCGACCTCGATTTTATATTAAGCTCAGAACAACTTCAAATTATTGGGAATATATGGCTGTGATTATTTACTTGTTTGAATTAAGTCTGTCCCAATCATTTATTTATTTGTATAATCTTGATGTTGAAATTTTTCACAAGAAAAATTATCCTTCAAAAAAAAAATGAATAAATGCGATTTATTCGCTTTGGCGCAGCATTGCCATGCAAAAATTTTACTATTTAAAACATGGATCGATTCGACACATATAAAAAATAAATTTTTACAGACTAACGTGAACTAATAAAATACTTTATACTTGACAAAGAGAAATTATTCCCCTGTTGGATAAGTCTCTGGCATCTATAATAAATTAAATACATATACACATATTTGTTTAATCATAATGTGATATCACTTTTTAACGTTCAACATTTCACTCACCTCTTCCTCTTTAATATTAGTTCTATCAATTTCATCTTCAGTTTTGTCCGGCAAGGGTTTCAAAGCAGACGTAGTATCAATATGTATAACAGCATCAAACTGTAAAGAAATTTTAGCATTAAAATAATGAGATCGTAATTCGGTATCAGGACGGTAAATTACTCCAATGGCTCTTTCTTTCAACCTAGCTTTATTAGCTAGTTCATTCATGAGATCCTTTGAGACGGGTAATTTTTTATTTTGTTTAATTTGATTAAAAGTGAGGAGAAAGTTTGGCGAAGAAGTTTCTTCGGCCACCGTGTGAAATAAGTGTTCAACTGTTTCACGACGTGACGGATTAACTAAGTAAGGCGAACGGAGTGATGTTAATGTTGACAAAAAGCTGATTACTATTTTACGAGCAATGATTAAGCGGTCTCACCAGCTTTTTTATCCCTTGGCCCGTTCCAATCGGAAGCCGCAGTAACTATAATATCACTATTGTCAGTATTTTTGAATGATAACTTGTAAAAATAAACCCTTTTTGCGTGTCTATTTACCTGTTCCCGTGTGCGTGGTAAATCCGATGTTGTAAACTCTGTCAAATCCAAATTGTTCACGAACCAACTGACCAATATTCAATTCTTTTTGATTTTCTCCTTGATGAGTTTGTCTCGCGTCTCCAACATGACTATTATGTGCCTAAATAGTAGCCGAATAATATCTTAAAAACTCATTAATTCTAAAACATTTTTACTCCGTATTTTACTTACCCAAACAACAGCTTTAACTTGTTTAGTTCTCTGACGTTGAAAAAAATTTATTAAAGATTTCAACGTTTCCATCATATGTGAATCACGCATATTCCAACTTTGAGCACCAGCATTAATCATCTTTCCTATTAATGAAAAAAACAAAACTAGGAGTTAAAACCACATGCGAGTGATGTTATTTGTACCTCATCGCATTTTTAAGTTGGTTACTCACGGTAATATTCTTCAGCATCCTTAACCACCATAGCATTTATATTAGCGCAGAATAACTCATCTACATCCTCGTCATTTGAGTGATTCTTGCGGGTAATGCGTTCAGATTGCTTTTTAGCAAGATCAGTTAACACCCTAATCACTTCTTTTTCACATGATGAAGAAACTTTAAAATATGTAGAGAACGCATAAGATTCGGTTGACCGATCGAAATGATCAAAGCAACCGTAACTACAAGATATAAAGAAAAGGGATTCTATTAAAATTCGAAATACAGAAAATTATTCAAAAAGTAATAAATTTTAATATTACGCTTGTCTTGCTCTCTTTGCTGCCCGAGCATCAACATTTTCCAAATAAGTGATCACAGCATCAATAGACGCAAATAACGAATATAAATCCAATCCGTATATTCCAGTCTATAAAACATAATTAAGAATTAGCCAAGAAAAAAAACTAATTAATGACATAATATCACTTACTTTGTTATAACGATTCCATTCTTCTTCACCTTGTTCAGCTTTTGCTTTAGCTTCCAATTCATCATTATGTTTTTTAAGCCATTCAACGAAATCAGCTATTTGATAATTTCTCCACATCCAAGTGGGAAATCTTTTGAAATCACTTAATGCCTCACGAGCATCTTTTGAATCATTTGATTTAAAATTTTGTACGTAACGATTAACTTTATAAGTATCTGGCCAATCTGCTTCGCATGCCACAACACTATGAACGAAAGGTAAGAAATAAAATTCAAAAAATTCAAGGCAAAAATTAAATATGAAAAAAAAAAAAATACACATATTTACGTGAAATCTTTTTCTTTTATTAGCCTTTTTGTGATTAAACATCTTTCATGGTAAAATTCTTCAGTACCATGAGATGCTTCGCCTATTAATACAACTTGAGCATTTCCTAAATACAAAGTACGATCAAATTAGTTTTTTTTTTTTTTTGATTTTTTTAATTGCATTACGATCAAGGTACCGATTGCTTCAATAAGTTGATCATAATCTTTCTTGGGATTATCCAGATCCAATTTGATCATATGATTCTTAATAAGGTTACGATTAATAGATTGTTCCTTTTGAAAAGACATTGTAGATATTTTCTTTAGAGAATATTTCAAAGGTGATTGTGAATATTTGAATAAACGAAAAGACATTATATAAAAAGAAAATGCTGAATTGGGTTTGTTATCATATTGATGTAATGGTAGATCCATAAAATTCACTACGCTAACCCAATAATGTAATGAATTTAATTCTCGAATTCAATCTAAACGAAAGATGTACAAGGGGAAGGAGAACCGCATTCCGCAGTAGATTCAACCTTTATTTGACTGTAAATATTATTACAAATTGTTTTTTTTAATATTCAAATAATTTTAGAACATTATTATATCATCGGTCTATGTACACATTTAACCATTTTCTAATGTTATAAGCCAAATTCCCTTTTAGGTTTAGCAAAATAATTTATTTGAACGATAGACCATTTTACTGGTCTTAATTTCCGCGCGGTAAAAATTTACTGCGGTATGATATTTTAGAAGCGGGCCTGTAAAAATTTATTCCATGTTTCGTCTAATTAATACTGATGGATTATATATACGGGCTTTAATTTTTGAACCATGTGCAATCATATCAAACTCGTGTACTCGCTCTCATTAATTACGCATTTTTTTAATTACGTGCTACATGTTGATTTATTTATTATTAAAGTTTGGATGAGAAAAGCACGGTATAATCAACGAAGTTTACAAATAAAAGAGCTATATCGTTTTATATTTTCTTTCTTTTTTCTAAAAAATTGTTCTTTCAATCATTAAAAGTAAATATGTTAATCATCTCAATACTTTGTCATAGTTAAATCAAAAATCAATTTAATTAAGAAGAAAAGGCTGGAATTCTTTATGGAGCTCAGGCCCATGCTTTATAATCTTTCATATTTTATCGACGAATGCTCTCTAAATGCAACTCTCCTCGGGGTCGGGCACATGAGTGCATTTAGAGAGGGTGTGCGTTATGAAAAAATGTAACTATGTTAAACTTAACAAAATTTAAACATTAAAATTCTTTTTTAAAGGCTTTATTGAAAAGTACATTTAACAACAAAATTTAACAAAAAATTCCTTTTTTCCATAGGAATGATCTAATTGCTTGAAGAATCTGAAATTCATCAAAATTTTTCAGAAACAATCACGTGATATACATTAAAGACTTTACAATAGAAAAAAACGGAAAATGAGTTAATGTTAAATCAAACTATTTTGATCTAAGAAATAAAGTAAAATTGATTTTTTTTCTAGGCAGATTCCCTTTTTTATTGCAAAGGTCTCATATATTTATTATATAAAAGACTAAAAAACTTGACACATACAAATGTAGAGAATGTATTTAGCATTCATTTAAATCTTAATCTTGAATTTAAAACTGTGTGTAAATTTAAAGAGAACATTTAAAGAGGTTGATTGTATATACTTAAGAAAACTCTTATTACTAATATATTTTTATATAATATACTTTTTTAAAAATTATTATATTAAACTAACTTATTATCTTAAATAAGTATATTATTGTAATAATTGATTAATCATGAAATGTAATTAGAAAAAATAACTAAATTATATTTTTCATAAAAATTTTTCAATATTAAAATTAAAAAAAAAATTTATTTAAAATTAATGAAATTATCAAAATTATTAAAAAAATAATAATGACAAATAGTAAATTTATTTTATAATTATTATCTTTTATATATATATATTAGTAATTCTATTATTATTGCATCTTATTAATGATAGCTATTAGAATAAGATTTACTTTAAAATAGTTTTAATACAAAATTCTAAAACTCAGAATCCTAACAGTATATTATCCTAATTTTCTAATTTTTAAAATATCAACATTTTGAATTATTAAAATTCAAATTATATCATAATCTCAAAATATTAAATTCTAAAAAACTAAATCCTAAATTGCTACATTCCTAATATTTTATAATCCTAATAATTTATTATTTTAAAGGATAAAATACTGAAATAAAAAATCCCAAAAATTGATTTATATTAAAATTTCATTAATTAAAAAAAATTATTATTATGAAATTTTTGAATTATAACCTTTTAGAATTATAATAATTTGGGATTTTTAATTATTTAGGATTGTGATATTTCAGAAATTAGAATATTAGAAAAATATACTATCAAGGTTCTAAGTTTTAAGATTTTTAACTAATTCCTTTAAAATATATTATATAAATAGAATTTGAATTATTTTAAAAAAAAATAAGTTTTAATAAAATAAAATATATTTTTATTCTTTATATTAAAAAATAAATATTTCTTATTAAAGTATATTTTACTAAATTTTAAATGACTTACTGATAAACTAAGTGATATTTAATAATTTTTTTTTTTTTTTTTTTACGTGCGGTAGCTTTGCACAAACTTTATTTAAGAGTAAAGTAAAGTCTTACAATATTACAAATTACAAGATAGAGAGTACAAAAATTTCTATTTAACAATAAAGCCAAATCAAAATCAACCTTGCACCATTCCAGACTAACCTACCCAAATAAATTTAGAATAGGATCAACCATCCAGTATAGGAGGCGTGGTTGCTACCGATCTAAAAATTCAACCAGTTTGTACCAAATCTAAAGGAGAAAATAAAGTAAGGAGGAATACTAAAATTATGTGGTGATGATGAGAGAAAGCCAGTGTTGGTGAAATGCAATTTTTGATCATTGAGTGAGATGTTATTGAGGTTTTCAAAATTTTTGATATCATTGCAACGATCAATCCAGATGGATTTTATTTGGGAGAATGCATAGTGGTAAGTAGAAGATAAGAGACTGTTTGTTAATTGGAGGTTATTAATAAAGCAATGTGTTTTGTTGAATAATGAAAGAGGTATGATTCCTTTGATCAAGTCAATAAAGTTAAAAGAGTCAGGTCGATCATTTAAGGACCAGATAGTTAAATCTAAAAGATCCGTAAAATCTTGAGTGTCTGAAGTCAAGGCGGTGAGATGTTGTATGAAGAAACTTTTGGTTGAGAATATAATGTCAATGACATAGTATTCAATTTTGGTACAAGTTCAAACGTGATTAAAAGTTTCATAAGTATACGAACATCTAGGACAATTTCATGATTGGTCATATAGATTTGGGTATCTTATTTTGAGGATTTCAAGGGTAGGGAGCAATTCAAGCATAAGCTTAGTTTTAAATTTACAGATAAAAGAGGCTTTGAAGGATGTATAAAGGTTGTTTTAATTGTCGTTAAGAATGAAAAGTTTCGAATCCAATCCACATCCATTGTACTGTACTTTTTAAAGTGAGGAAGTAGTTGTATATTATGAAAATCGATTGATCTGAGAAGGTCTTTCATGAACAATCTAGGTGGTATAAGTACAATATTCTCGTTAAAATAGAGATTATAATGGTGTCCTAAAAATTTGTTATTCATAGTGATTGGGAGGCCATCAGCTTTGCTAATGTATCAACTACATTATTGTAATGATCATCTGAGTTAGTTTTGACTTTGTGAAATTCAATAGAAATGGACTTTTCCTTAATTAACTTTATGACAAGAAACCAAATTGGGTAAAAGGAGATTTTAAAAATGGGGTTGAAGGTAAGAAAGAAGGTGTAGAAGTAGTTCATTTTATCAAAAGATGAAATGACATTTTGTGAGTCTGTAAAAATATTAACTGTAGCATTTGTGGGCGCTACATATATAGCAGATAGTACAGCTACTAGTTCTGCTAAAGAAGATGAAGGTTGGAAAAGAATAAGAGAAGCATTAAAGGAAAGTAGAGGTGTTGAAGGATCAGATTGCAACCAGGTCACGCTCATACAGATTGAAGAAATACCTAAATTGATAAGAGAACCATCAGTATAAAACGAGAGGTTAATTGATTGTATGAAGTGAGTTTTAAAGTTGTCTAAACTATTGAGGATTTCTATATTAAAAATTTACATGGGTGTTAGGGTGGAGAAGACAAAGTGGAGGGGATATTAAGTGTACTATTCTCAGTTAAATTATAACTATATAAAGCAATTTCATAAAGCATATAAGGAAACAAAGAACAGCTATGACCAATATTTGAAAGGAGGGGAGCCTTGATGTCAGCACATAGATGCAAAGGTAACATCATAAAGCATGTTTTCTGTTTGTTTCTCATATTAGAAGGAACAAAGGAAGAATCATCATTGAGGAAGCATTTATTACATGATAACAGTGAAATTTTGAAGGTATAGTCTGGTGAAGCAAAAAAATGTTGTAAGTGAACTTTATCATTATCTATTTTGAGTACTTTTCTGACTATGGCAGAATGGGAATTTAAGTGCTAGCCCATCGCAAAATGTGTAGTACTTTTAATATGAGTTGGAGGAATCGAGTATATATTATTGGTGTGTGGTCGATAGTGTTCCGCACAGATTCGAATCGGATCTGTCAGATTCAGATCTAATTCAGATTCAGATTCAGATCTGATCTGTCAGATTCAGATTCGGATTTGGATCTGATCCGTCAGATTCGAATTCAGATTCGGATCTGAATTCAGATCTTGAATTGATTATCAATTAATAAATTGATAATCTTTTTTTGCTGATATACCATTGTAAACTTCTTTCTTTAGAACCGAAAAAAGCAAGTTTACCAACTTCAGCTGGGGTAAGTAAATATTTTTTTTTTTAATATTTATTTTTAAATATTTGTTTTATCTTCGCTGTTTGTTAATATATTTTTAATTTATTTTAAGGTTCGTTTCTAATTAAGTGAGTAGTGAGGTGGGGAGGAATTGGAGTAGTGGGGTAGTGGAGGCGGTGGGATAAGTGAAAGGCTGTGGAAGGCTGTGGAGTGGTAAGGTGGTAGGGCGAAATGAAAGGGGGAAGTATCAAAATATGTGTAAATTAAAATATTAATTTACAAATTTCTATATTTCAGGATCGGTTGGAAATTGTGGAATTAACAATTAGTGACTATAGTGGTAAGTCGCTTTAATTTAATTTTTTCGTTTGTTTATTTTTTTAATTTATTATTTTATTTATTTTTTAATATTAATTAGCGATTTTGTTTGTAATAAAAGG